GACGTTTCCCGGTATTCCCTGACTGTGGGAACCCTGATTTAAGGACCGACGAAATTTGGCCCCAGGATAAGTAAGTAGCCTTTACTGGTCTACGCGCAAAGGCGCAACTTGGCCACGGCATAGCTTGGGTGGGATATCACGAACGCAGTGATGCGGCGACCGCTGCCAGAATTCGATCGGTGTTGCACATCAGATCTCCGCTGCGGAGATAAAATCTTTCACGAGAGAAGCGGGTCTCCATCCCACTCCCGACCCCATCATTCGATGCTGTGTCAGGAAGCAGCTTTCATCGGTCGAGGCGGCCATACGGAGCCAGTCTCGGAACTTGTGGACGCCGACAGAAAAGCTACAAACAAACGCTCGAGATATACCTCGCTTTTGCACTCAACTATTCAATTTTGCATTTTGTAGGTTATCGACCGACCGTGAGATGATTCAAGAACCGCGCGACCAAGACTGCAGGAGGAAACGGAACGCTGCGAAAATTAAAAGAGCCGACTTCCTTTCCTCTCCTGAACCGTATGCATGCTGCGGGCTGATTCTTGACATTGATAGACAAAGCGATAGACAAAGACAGGGTATCTACTAAAACAGGCTGGCCAAAAATCAGTACTATTACAGTAGTTTTTCTGTACATTCCCAAGAAATTCAGTACCTCCTCTACAGAAATATTCAGTACTTCTTCAGAACCTCCATTTGCGAGATTCGAAAAATTTCAAATGTTTGAGCTTCTCGCTCAAATTGCGACAAAAATGACACGAAAATGAAAAAAATTCCGGACCTTCTTGCAGAATTTCCGAACTTTTTCAGTACTTCCGGACTGACATTAAAAAATCATTACTACTTCCGGACTAGTAGACACCCTGAAAGAAGACAAAGGGAGTATGGAGCGATCCTATTGGTTGAAATGGGTGGTTCTTTTAGACTGAGGGGGTATATGATACAATTATATTGACCTATTTTTTTTCATCAATTAAAATGAAAATAATCCATACAGAGTGTGCAAACATTTCAAAGTCTTGAGTTGAAAAACGCTGACTCCACGAGATTCAATATTAGAGCCTAACACAAAGCGGAGCAGCGGCGCACTGGCGCCTACAAACCTAACAGGGATACTTCACGCATTGCGCAATGCGTGAAGTATCCCTGTTGGGTTTGTAGGCGCCAATGCGCGTTTCGCGCTGGCTGCCCGCCCGCCGCGCCGTAAAGAATCGATTATTAAGGTGTTCGCTGCGAACACCCTGTTTATCGATCTTTTTCCATAGGTTTAAATGGCATAACAATCGATATATAGCGAAGCACGCCACGCCACTGGTTAATGTTGTTATTTGCAAACGCCCTGACTTTCCCTGCCTTTTCCCTGACCTTGAAACAAAACTCCCACTTACATTTAATTAGATTTATATTATTTTCATTGCGCTGACTTTTTTTTTCTTTTTTTTTCTTCAGGGACATTCCCCATCTGACTTTATTCAGTTTTAATGTGATACAAAATAAATGAGTGTGCATATAATAATTGTTTACATGGTGTTGATAAAATTATTTGCGCTGACTTTTACCGAACTATGGACAAACTTTTCATTTCAAAAAATACAAATTATGGTGAAAGGCACTTAGAACTTAGACGTTGTTCGTTTGCACTCCTCGAATGGCATCAGCTGAGATTGCCGAGCCGTGACACAATTTGATGCGTAAAATCGTAATGAAGTATCGTCAAAAACAAAGAAGAACAAACTATGTGTTGAGCATAAAAAGACAAATAGGTTTTCTTTGGACAGTGAATGGAGATGTTGCATGTGTGAGGAATTTGCGATTTGACTGTTAATTTTTGTGTAAAAGTTCGCGAGAAAAACGATGGTGCCACCGGTTTTCTCTGATATCAACTCCCAAGCTCAGAAAAAACCTCTCAGGTTGAGGTCAAATCGCAAATTTCTTGCACATGCAACATCTCCATTGTGACAAGAAATGTATAACGTTGTAAATCGAGATACGTGGTTTAGTAATTCCATTTTCACAATCGAATTGTTCTCAGTTTCCCTTCGTTAGCTGGACGATAGATGCGCGAGAGGAGGCGAGGGTTATCACAGCGCCTGGATGCATCTATTCGTGCTCCTTGGATGCGCGTGTTGCATGAAAAAAATTGAAGGCGCCTGCGCGCCGCGCCAGAGCTGAATAACCATTGCAGTGGCGAAAATACCAAATCACGGACCTCTAGTAAGGTAAATTTTACGGTTCGAAAATTTACACTCATTTTTGACTTCTTCATAAATATTATGCTAGGTTTTTTTTTAAGGCGCCACTCGCGAAATTCCCTGACTTTCCATATTTCCGGACCGCCAGAAACCCTGGCATAACACAGGGTTGCCACACAATTTAGAAAATGAAATTCCATGACATTTCCCTGATTTCCCGGTCACATTTTGGTGGAGTTCCCTGACAATTGAAGATGTGACGGATGGTTAAGAAGGCATATAATTGAAAATAGTTTTCAGGCAAAATTTGTTGTTCGAAACCTCAGACTCGTTCTAGAAAGCAAATGAAGGTGATTTAATAAATTTTCCCTGACATTTCCCGGTTTTTCTCGACTTTTTAAAATTCTTGACTGTGGCAACCCTGATAACAGCGCTATCGCGAAATTCCGTCTTCGAGATAATTGAGATATTTCTGAAGGTTGAATAGTTGAGAATTCGCTAACAGTTCTATGATATAAAAGCGGGGCAACTGTAAAATAAAATGAGAGGTTCTTGAAATGTAATGATGCTTTGTTGAACTTGGTTTCGCCAGAACTCCAGAATTGATCTGAGTGCCTCAGAATCTATATCTACTATGGGTGTGGGCAGGGAGGTGATATTGAAATTTTTATGGGCCAGAATTCCCTTGACATTGTTTGATAATGATTCGCGGCATCTGTCAGACGACATGATATCCAGTGGGTGTTTCAAGTTCTCCCCTGACTGCAAAAAAACTGATGAATATGAAGGAAGAAAAAATCTACTCGCCAGCGTCTAGGTGAATAAAAACGAGAGGTCGTGCAGAAAATGGAAAGAGGGAGGCAGAAAGATGCTGAAAAAATGGTGAACTTTAAAAAGTCTCGATGGAAACGCCATGAACATAATTAATAAAAGATTGAAGTGCTCACAATAAACTTGTTGCATTGATCAAAGATATAAATGGACCACTTGCGTGCGACAGGGATTTAAGGAGTAAAACCTTGGTCCTGGGTAAAATTTCGCGAGAAGAACATCAGTGCCATCAGTTTTATGTGAGACGAATTCCTAGGCTCAAGAAAAGCTTCCTAAGTTGAGGCCATGATATGGAGGAGCCTTCACTTTTGTAAGAGTCCTTCCTTCAGGGGTGCAGACAATTCTTTGCTTTCACATTATTGGAGCCACTCTTCCCATTTTCCGAGGTTGCCTTCACATTGCTATCCACATAGAACTTGCGCACCTCACTGTTTGCTTTGCATTAGAGAGCGCATTACACAGTTTTCTTCACAAAACGGTACGCGCATAGCAGATTTATGCTTTCTGCCTCCATATTTTCCTCTTTTCCAGATGCCTTCAACTTTTTTTACCCCTTTTCAAGTGCCTTTACATTTGGTCCGTGATCGGTCAGCAATCGGCCACGTCAAGCACTTTCTGCACTCATGCCTTCCTTTTTCTGTGTATAATCAGACCATCCATAAACAGATACTTAGGGAGAGAATAGGCACATTAGCAGGGTTGCCACTTTTTGAGGAGACTCCAAACATGGTCGCAAACACGGTAATTCTGGGAATTTGCTACCCCTCTGTCATGGAGAGTTTGACAGAGGTGGCAGCTGAACACGAGAATAATACAGTCAGATGGTGCTATGAAGAACTGTGCATGTGAACAGAATTTGACTTTTCTTTTGCCATGAAATGAATAAATCTTGCTGAATATCTCTTTTCCTCTGGGTAAACCGTATCTTTTATTAATCTGTTCTGGATTAGTTAAGTAAGTCCTCGCCGAATAATTCCACACTTCAAGACTGTGGCAGGGGATCACATGATGTCAGTTTAGCATTGAAAATAAATGCAAGAATCAAGATGGCCGATCTTCTGTTGCGGTCTAAAAGAAGCGTACTCAAGCATATATAGCGTGGACTCTACCTAAGTAGTCCAATGGGTAAATAATTAAGACAGAAGACACGATTATATCAACTTCAGATAACATGACTTATCAGTTGTCACCTTACAAATGTATACAGCTTTCTTATCAAAATTATTTAGTAGAATCCTCAGCATCTCATTTTCTGTTTACTAAGTCTCAACTCAATTCTGAAAGGCCCAATTACGATTGATATTTAACTTGACCATTTGCACAAGTGGGAAAGAGCACAAACACCGTCATTTAGGCAAGAGGGAGGGAAAAAATCATTCACGCACCTTAATTTACGAATAATGTCACTGGTTTGGGGATCATGCTTATTTGACAACATGGGAAAAACGACGAATGGCCTTGTTTCACTACAATAGGGACTATGAAATTGTCAGCATCACTTAAAGTACGGTAAAGTCACTTTTCAACAACTAAAGAACAGAGTGTAAGCTTAGTAAAAATGATTCTCCTATTGTAGCGACAAGAAGGGGAAACACGGGGACTTAGACCTGATGATGGCAACATCAAAACTAGGTTACATTCCTACTCGTGTAGATGGATCTGTGAGACATGTACTGACTTCTGACTGTTAATTTCTTTAAATATGGAGCTCCAAAGCATGGCTTCATTTTAAGACATCATTTTCGAAGGGATAAATTCTAGAATCAATAGAACAGAGTAAAATATTGTTCTGTTGCCCTCGTGTGACAAACATGGCTCCAATCAAGGAACGGGCAAAGCTGGGGATCCTTAAAGCAGGTGCAGATCCTATGACAGAAAACTGCAGTAATTGTGAAAATGATTTGTGTAAATGTACGTAGTACGAAGAGATAATTTGCACTCTGACATGAGAAGACAATAAGAGTCTTGGTTACATACCTGTCTAGTATCATATGTAGGTTCAGCATCAGTGACAACACTTTTCATAGTATCTCCACGATCCATGATTGAGAAAAGGTATCCAAAATAGCGCTAATCCAACATAAACACTAAAACAGCATTCAAAAACAACCGAACGAGCATGAATCGAATAATTTCTTCACTTTTTTTCTAGCTGTCATTTCTGCAGACACAATCGCGCAAGCCTGCTTTTCACAACACGATCACGAATTCAAGAGAAAAAAGCAAAATAATCAATGCTACAACACTAACTTATATAATTACAGGAATAATCTACATACAACAGACACTGTTAAAGCCCGATTTATTTCAAAAGAGCGACGAATTAGAGTCGAAAAATTGTCACACTTCAAATCCTCACACGTAAGACGACCATCTTGAATGAAAGAATTTTACTGAATACCTGACGATCAAGTATGCCAACTTCTAGAGTAGGGAAAAATGAAGTACCCGATTCCAAGATGAGATAATAACGTGGGACGTTAATGAATACGTAGGGAACCGAGCTCTCAATGGCAGATGCAAATGAATTTCAAACTTTAGGCCTGAAGGATACTGACTTTATCGAAGTCTTATGATTGCTTTATTATTGACAGGTTCTTGCCCATCTTCGTACCCCGAGTGCATGTTCTACCCCTGTCAGTTCACCGTACTTCACCACCCTGTCATTTCCGGGAAGGCGGGAAAGTAGATTCGCAACCTCTTACGACTTGACCTACGACATCTCTTAGCGGATATAAAAAAAAAATTTCTTTTTTTCGTGTAATATGTACCTACTTACTAAAAGAAAACAAAATTGCGACCTGCTCACGTACCCTTCATAAAATTTGCAATTTTGCATGGTTGTGCCTCCGATATAGTGCAAAGTAATCTCCCATGCTTTGAGTTCCGAAAAAATTTCATCATTAGTGAGTA